ATGCTTTCTATTCATTAGACCAACTTTTAAAACTGCAATACCGACGTCTCGCACACAATTAAAACTTCAACTCCAACGTGAACAGCAGCAGCAGGGTTCATTGCATTTTTGTCTAAGCTATTCATTCATTTATTTAAAAATTAATATATGTATAGTATATATAAATGTATTTTCATATTAAATGCTTTCTATTCATTAGACCAACTTTTAAAACTGCAATACCGACGTCTCGCACACAATTAAAACTTCAACTCCAACGTGAACAGCAGCAGCAGGAACAGCAGCAAATACTAATGCAGCAACAGCAGCAACAACATATGAATAGGCAGGATCCAACAATGCTTAATGCGTTCGGGTTGTCCACGGCAGGCTTTCAATATGGCGCAACTAGCGGCAGTAATAGAAGCAGCGACTGTGGCAGTGGTAGCCTAAATCAACATCAGCAACAGAAACAGCTTCAGCAGCATCAGAATCAGCAGCCTGGCCAAAAGGATAGGCTATCAGTATCTAGTCCTGTTGCGCTTAAGGTTCCTTTGCAGAGTATAGGCGTAGATGTGCCTCCTCAAGTACTACAGGTGAATACCTAAGCTCTAAAACTTAACAAGATGGACGGACGGACTAAGCCAATATCTTCTTCGTGAACAATTATGGCAAATTAGGCATTCTCGATGGGGCTGCCATACGAGGAAATACCGTGAATTACGTGTCCAGTTTCTGATTCAAACAAAGTACATATTTTGTAACCCTTCTAATCGATGATGATGATTTAAAGGTTTTCATTGCAAAAGAAAATTACCTTTTTGATAAAGAACGTTAATAATAAAAATAGTTCATAACTTTTTCTTAACAATAGGTGAGCACCGTTCTAGAAAATCCAACGAGATATCACGTCATCCAGAAGCAAAAAAACCAAGTGAGACAGTATCTCAGTGAATCGCTCAAGCCTTCCATCTGGGAATGCCAAAATTTAAAAGTGAGTGTTATGAACTAGATAATAGTAAAGTAATGCCTTATACCTAGTACTCTATATGCACAGAATAAAGCTGCAACTAACTCGGCTTCAACAGGCAATTTACAATGTGCTTCAGATGTGAATAACAGAAATGTTCATAACGAAAGACCAAACAGTTTCGGAGGTGGTGATACTGCTTCGAATATTATTGGAAAAACCTTAATGCATTCCGAGGAATCGGCGCTTTTGTCGCCGTTTGGTGGGAATTGTAGCTCAAGTTTTTTTGGAAATGATTTGGATGGCCAAAGTGTTAGCGATCAGCCAAAAAGTTTTTTTAACAAACCCAATTCAAATGGAAACTCATCTGTGACGGGGCGAACCTCGGGAATTATCAACACCATGCGCAACTCTAACCTTTCCGGCGCAAGTACGGCGAGTCCTTTGCAATCAGTGTCAGCTCCAATGTCGCCAAGCCTAAGTTCTGTGGCAACAAGTGCATCAGAGGTGAGTCACATCAATATAATTAACTAGATGTATCTTAGGAGAAATCGAAAGCATTTTTTATACTCATTTATGAAAGTGAAAAGAGTATATTGGTTATGTACAATGTCTTTCTTAGGGCTCATTCATCTGTCCGTCTGTATGTCCGTCGGCGCTAAGAGACTTTAAAGTATTTAAACTTCCGATCCGCTAGGGGCGTAGCAAATCGTAAAATGCATTTGAAAAGTTTAAAAGCCGAAATTCTGAATTATAAATTTTGTGTCCCAAATTTTCCATGACCCTAAGTTTAAAGGGTGGGCCATTTTTTTTTTTTTTTTTTTTTTTGACGCGACGACCTTACGATATCATTCAGTGACGCAATGTACAATGAAGCATTGATTGCTATTGAGCATTTTTGCATTGTGATTGAGAATTTACCCAGTAGACTTGATAACAGTGACAGTTTTCGGTCATGCTCTCATGGTAAAAAATAATTCATGCACATTTCATTAAAACATGAATTACATGATTTACGTGTTTTATTAATATAAAAGATAACTCAAATAATGAGCAATACGTCACTGTTTATCACCAAACAGTTTTCAACTTGATTAATTTATGTTTGATTAACAGACAACAATGCCACGAAAACGCAAGCGGGTAATTTGAGTCGTCGAACACTCAAATCTTGAAGCATGCAAGATAACAGACCACAAAGGTCAGATGAAGATAGGCAACAAAGCAATGCAGATGTCCTTGTAAGCATGCCGCAGTTATGTGCATCACTATTGCTAGAGGCACGAGATGAGCGAAACCAGCAAAGACAATTAGAACGAAGAGAAGCGCGCAAAGTCGTAGTCAACAGACGTAGAGGAATTGACCGACAACGTCAGCAAGTACTTCGAGCATTTACATCACATTCATTTCTCGCCTAGCATTTCCGTATAAGCCTGACCTGAATATTACGCTCATTCCAAATTGGTCATTGCTACATTGGACGAAGAATGCCCACACTGCTATGCCCCTAAATTAAAAAATGAGCCTCATCAGGAAATTTAAAACTCCCAGAAATTGAAAGACAACCGGAAACATTGCACGGCTTCCTTATTGGAACTGATCCAGGTTCTTCCCTGTTCTTGCAGTCAATTCGAAAATTCTATTCATGTTTTCAAACGAGATCGTTTGGAGCAACGGAAATAGTTGAAAATACTGCTGCAAATGGTCAACAATACAATTCCACATTCAAAATAAAATGCAAAGCTTACCACAAAGTCGGTTCATTGCTACCAATGCCAAGTGAACCTTATAAAATTGTATAAATTTACTTTATGGGTAGTAAAACATTCCTTATTTCATTACTTGCCGAGATACGAGCAAAAAAAGGCATTGCATTAGCCGTTGCATCATCTGGCATTGTAGCCACTTTATTAGATGGATGCAGAACAGCTCATTCTGCATTCAAGCTGACACTGAACATTCATCCATAATCCATATGCAGTTTATAACATTAAAAAACAATCATCCATGGCCACTGTGCTGAAACAGTGTAAAATTATTATCTGCCCTGAATGCACCATAGCACATAAGCATTCGCTGGAGGCAAAGCAACGTTTGCGAGGTCAGCTAGTATATACATATATATTTTTATACCCTGAACCCATTTTTAATGGGAAATCAGGGTATAATGGTTTTGTTGAAATGTATGTAACAGGCAGAAGGAGGCGTAGCAGACCCCACAAAGTATATATATTCTTGATCAGGGYGACGAGCTGAGTCGATTTGGCCCTGTCCGCCTGTCTGTCCGTCCATCTGTCCGTATGTATGTACGCGTCGATTTCAGAAGATATAGAGAGAGAGACTTAAAA